TATTTCATGGGCACGGCGCGTACAGAGCGCGACGCGACGCGAGACTACAAGTGCTCGATCGGCTGCGGTAATGCCGGCTTATCTAACCGATCTCCGACGCTTCTCGATGCTTCTTTACTGCCAATATTCAAACTCAGTTGGCTCCCTGCCAGGGAGTCGACGAAATCTCCCAGTCTCCCAGATGCGAAGGCCCCCATGGCCTGTTGCCTCTTTAGGCACGCGTCTCGGGAGACTGGTCACGAGTCTAGTCCTGGACCTATTTCCTCATCCTTTGTCTACGTTCACCCTCGATTTGCAGACCCTCCCTCAAGCTCATCGAGACACGCTCACACGCGTCGAGCTTGGTGTCTCTGTACCACTTTCACACGCAGTTCCCGAGTTGACCCAATTTCCCAATCTCGTCATGCTCTCCTGCGAAGTGAACCTGCTGACGCCCACCGCTCATGGCGACCCATACATACTCTCCCGCCTTGAAGATCTGCGCCTCACGCTATCCACCTCTGACGCAGTAGCCATCAGCGACAGCTGTCGATCGATAACGTCCGCCCTCGAGCTTCCAGCCTTGTGCAAGCTCTCGCTCACCGCCGTCCATGTGACGGCTCACGATTTGCACCCCTGTTACGCGCTCTTCCTCGAGAAACACGGAAGACAGCTGCAATATCTCGCAATATACGGGATCCTTTTCCTCGTCCCGGTTGTAGAGGAGCTCATTCAGCACCGCCCGAGTGTCGAACACCTCGTCGTTCCCCGCGTGCGCGCCCTGCGAACGCTCACGCACCCGAACGTGGTGTGGCTCGACGCGTGGAATTTCGTGACCGCATGGCGTCGGAAGGAGCCGAAGCCTCCTCTGGATGCATTCAAGAACATGCCACGCCTGCGGGGCATGCGCGTCCTTGACCGCATCCTTTTCCATATCGCAGGTCCGGCTGTGCCTCTTATCGTTCCGCCATATCTCAGTACAGAAGCTATATAGTCCAGCCTGTGAGCGGCCTTTCCGGACAGCGTCCTGAGTTCCCACCACCGCTAACCCGTATTCAAATGCGATCCTGAGCGCTAATTTTACAAATAGTTCGTACAGATGTATCAAAGGTCACTTTGTTGGCTTGTGCTCGCCATTCAGACAAAGGGCTCTGATGTGACATAGGTATATGGTACGGCAAAGGGATGCATGCTATGACAGAGTTACGCTACAGCATAAAGCTTTGATACGATAGAGGGCTGTATTACATCAGATGGCAGCATTTCGTCAGCGGTCACCGCTGGAGATGATAGGACCCGGGTAGGTTACAATGGAGCCAAGAAATGGGGAAACAACGAAAAGATGCTATTTGTGTTAATTCATCTGATTCTACGGGCATCAGATTTTCCATCATGAATCGCAGCTTACACATACCGACTTTTTCTCATGATCACGGACAAACCCACCTTGAGTTTTTCTTACAACAGGCCACACCTCAGCTGTGCTCTAGCTCATACGAGGGACGACAACACGGCGTTGGCTCACATCTCAGCCAAATTTAAGGAAGCAACAGCTGAGGTATAAGTTGATGATATAGGCAATGTCTGATACCATTCACGTCCTTACTATTGAAAGGTATTCTGCTTGTAGCCAGTGATAGGCTGTCCGTGCCACCACGCGGATGTGATCGACACTGCATTTTCCGTGCTTCTTCATATGTACCACACCCACTGCGAAGGTGCTAACAACGGGAGATTGATATGCACCGGCTTAAGTCCACTCGAGTTGTGCAATTTACGATGTTCGTCGTAGGTTTGCACGGGTGTCCTGAGCCTTTGTCGCAGGTACTTCGCCAGGTTCTATGGGGCAGCGGCTGTCATCAGCGCCCTTGAAGATGCATAACACCAGAATGTCCTTATATTAGGGAACCCCTTTGATGGAAGGTGGCTGTAAGCGATGCAGAGGTCGATGAAGGGACACCACAATCTATTCTAGACATACAAAGAACGAAGGGGGTGGATGCCTGCGGAGGCATTGAGCAGCGACACCTCATTGATGCCTTTCAGGGTAAAAGATAGCCAGTGCAAGGGAGCTATGTGTTGACTTGTACAGGTTTAAAAAGTAGCGCAGCATGCTAATTAACTTGGTACCTACTGTAGATAGAGGGAGACGGACAAACAGAACAATAAAAAGAAAAAAAGGCCCGACCAAAAACCCGCTCAAAGCTCTGATATAAAGATATATAAATACACATACTTCAACACCGTGGCCGTACCTGTGCACTGCCCTTGATTGATCATCAAAGTCCGTTCCGTATGAGCATCATTGTCGACATTCTGATGACCGGTAAGCGGTAGCCTCATGCTAACGCAGTTTAGAATAACTCTGTAGGAGTGATCGAAAAGGCGACATAGCCAGCGTAACTTCTATGGGTATATAAAGTCACATTTGCTAAAAGCTTTCTTATACCCGGTTCGTCAGAGTTCACACCGTGCCCATCATGCCAGTTATTATTAACACCCCTTCATGGATACCTAGCCTCGAATACGCCCAAGCATGCGCATATACTTTAGGTAAAGGCTGACTATACGCCATTCATTTACCAATGGTTTCACTAACTTAATCACACCTTCATTTCCACGCCTTCATTCCAGTGTTCTCCACCGTGGTGGTCGTGTATGACTATGGTATGTGTCTAAAAGTTGCTCTGAATAATTCATAACGTTTCTGTAGTCCTGCATTTAGACCAAGAAGTAAGCAAACTTTGTTCTTCACTACAATATTGCTGAGGCTTGCCGCCATGTTAAGATTACTTTGATTTGGGTAAGCTCCTCTCGAGTTCTAGTTGATGGTGCCTGACGAACACAATTGTTTAAGGAACATAAATTATCCTGGATGACATGGTCTTATGTAGCTGTAAGTAGAATGCTCACATGTTATGGCCGGCATAGGCGGCTGAACACTTGAAAGATAAGATACTGCGGCATATTTGTTGCACTGTTCGTTGTCTTGATAATAATGTTTGCATGTCAATACGCTCTAACTGCTATTTCAGATACAGTTTGAGCAAGTCTAGGTTTATTTTCATAGGTTGAACGTGCACTGAAGCTAAAACTCCAACTAGCCGGATTGATGTACATGCCTTTATCAGATGATGTGAGTTTTCAAGTAAGGAACCGCATCCATTTATTCTCAGTTTCTGCGTTATTAAAGGTGTAAGTCTGCATTTGCTTGCCAAACCGTGGTGCTTAAAACAATGTTAATGCTCGCACAACTACTCGCCGCAAACTCATAAAGATGTAAGTAAAATTCTCGAAATGATACATTGAATCACGAAGACTAAAGATACAACCCAGGTTCCGTATTGAGTATCCTGCCGAGCACCATCCTCCCCGCCATATTGATGGTGCTACTCCAAGGTGAGTGGATGATAATAATATCACGGGCACCACCATTCACGAATGTACATAACATAAGGAGTTATGACCACTCGAGTTTGTGCACTTTATGGAAATCCAAAGAAACTCAAAATTGTCCTTTGGGGATGTTTCATATGCGTCCAAGCATTGAATATGGGACAAAATATTTTATCCATAATTCCGCCCTACGGGTACGCAAGTGTGTTCTTTCAAACTTCAACTTCGTCGCGTCTTCTCACAGACCGCTTGTCGATCTAGGTGAAGAGGCTATTATAAATGGTCTTCACATTTGCACGATTTTTGCCCCAGCCACATACCAAATCATTTACTTGATAACTCCCGTTTGGTGCGGTATTGGTCTGGCGTACGACTTGGCTTTGCTTCTTCTGGGACTCTACCGCGTGGTATGGCAACTTAAAGAACAGAAGAAGCAAGGTTCCTTGTTAGGTGTCAAAGGTCTTCTACGCATCCTTACTCAGCACCACATGGCCTATTTCTTGGCGTGAGCTCTCTTATATTATACTTGAAAAATAGGCTAAACTCAGGCTCTTTGCAGAGTTCTGGTAACTCAACTGCTCTGGACCGTTGCCTCTAACGCAACAGACATGGTACGGCCACTTATCTCCGCTCCATTCTACGCCAGATCATAGCAATCCACGCAGACTTTAGCCGAGACTCAAATAATTGAGATGCTCTACCCCGTGTTCAACACGATGGTTACATGTGTTCTGGGACCTTGGCTCATTCTTGGTGTGCGCAGTGCACACAGAAAGCAGCTAAATCAATCTCCAGATTCTCGAAGAGACGCAGTTAGCACCGTCGCGTTTAGGTCACCGCCATCTCAAGCAGATCCTGAAGCAGCGTTGAGCGTCGGCGGATAGGCGACGCCGCGCCCTCCCTGGAATGACGTGCGCCCTCTGGTAACGGGTCCACGCGCACGTCCATTCTCTTCTACCAGCGTTAGTCAACAAAGCTACACAGCTGAATCCTATTAAGGGTTTTGGAAAGGATGTGATGTGTTTTTCCGTGCGAAGGCTATTGTTTTTGATGGGCAACTAATTAATATGACTTATCTTTTACATATATCTTCCAGCATCAAATTATGTTCTGGATGTAGCTATGGCTTATTCTCGAATTTATGCAACGTTCTCCATGCTCGATCGATTGTACCTCTTAGTTATGATACAGAATGCGTGCATGCAACACCGTTTACAAATAGTATTTCGCAAACGCTGACCGATTGAGACCATCGAATGGCGGTGAGTGCAGAAAGAATCCGAGTACAGGCGGTAAGGATATGGGCCGAGGAACATGTCCCCAATCCAGCTCTAGGGTGTTTCGTCATTCCATTGACACTCACCCGGTACCATGCATAGATAGCAAATATGAGCCTCCATAAGACTCTACATATAAGCACCAGCCAACGCCCTACTGACGTATATACATCCATTAACAGGAAGGGAGGGGACTCGCTACAGGACAGACGCGGAGCAAAGCAAAACAGCGAGAGTCAGAGTGAAACAAACAAGCAGATATAAGAGGAGAGAGTGATATCGAGCACATGAAGATCGACAGGTGATGGGGAGGAGCGAGCGTGTACTGTGTTGGCCAAGGAAGGCGAGAGGCGAGAAAAATAAAATGGAGAATAGGAAAGGGGAAAAGACGTATAAGGAACATAGGAAGAATATATGATAGAAGCGCACATAGACAGACGTCTTGTCCTGGTGATCTATACTGAGCAGTTTCAAGACTCAAAGTACAGCGGAGGAAAGGCACGATACGAAGCGCGTATGCGTCAGCTGAAACAGACAGATTATGGTGCGGGTCGAGTATGTTCTTAGTGGAGGTACAGCTAGCGACGAGAGCAAATTCTATACCGGAGGATACCGCGTCAGAAAATGCATGTACACCAGCTGCGACACTCACCTCATCCCGCCAACGCCTTACGCATCGTCTTCCTCCTCCTCCAGCACATTATGCAACGGCAGCCCATGCACATACCGTATTGGACTCGCCCGCCCGCCCATACCTACTCCATCGACGCCAAACAGCGCCTCCCTGTCCGGCGGACTCATGCCTTCTGCGTGCGTGTCCACGTCGGCAGCCTCGAGCTCGCTCGACGTCACGCTCTCCATGTCACCTTCGGAAGCTTCAGGCGCGTGAGAGTGGTTCGGGTGGAGGCTGATTGAGCCTTGTGTGGTCGTCGCAGGTTTCGGAGACGGAGTGGATGAGGCTGATGGAGGAAGCGGGGGAATTGCCTTGTCCTTGGCGAGCGACGAGGAACGCACGGGCAGCTTCGAAGGTGCGGCGGTCCCACTAGGCGACGAACCAGAGCGCTCCCGCTCGCGGTACATCTCGATCAGCGAAGCCGTTTTGCTTTTGGCGTCCGTACCAGGGCTAACGCTCCGTTTCTCAGGCGCGGCGGGTGGAGCAACGAGACCAGGTAATGTCGTGCTCTCCGCACGAGCGTGCGCCTTCTCCCGCGCCCCGCCCGCATCCTCATCTGCGAAGTCGGGAAGTCCACCGACCGTTGGCGTGTCGCTGTCCTGGCTCCGTCGTCCCATACCAGCACCAGCAGCAGATATCTCGCTGATAGAATACTCGGACGCATTGGACATCGTCCGTGCACCACCGGGCATCGGACGGGCCCCACCAGGCCGCCGCTCTGGGTGCAAGTCAAAGTATCCGAGTTTCTTGGAGCCCGAGTTGGGGAAGGACATCACCGAGTCCACGTCGGGATCCTCCTGCTGCGCCCCCGCTGCGGCCTCTGAGGTCGTCATTGACTCGCCGCTCGGCCTCGGAAGATCGACGATGGTAGGATATGTCGTCGACGACATGCGCCTGTCCACGTCCTCTTCATCTCCCTCCGGATATGGATTAAACGGCTCCGGCTCGTCGTCGCCCGAGAACGGCGACCCCGCCCGCACACCAGCCAACACCCTCTCCAACTCCATACTCGCCAGCTCCGGATCGCTCCTCCCGCCCTTCAACCCCCTCCTCCTCGCCTCCCGCTCACCCTGGCCCGAGCCACGCGGCCGCAGCTCCGCCTCCTGCCCGCCCATCCGCCTCGTATGCGACGCAACCAGAATATCCACCCACGCATCGTCCCTGCTCATCCGCTTCTCCTGCCTCACCCGCTCCCTCTCCTTCTCCTCAGGGTTCATCAGCGCGCCCGGCTGCGGACTCGCCACGAGCTCGTCGTCCGAGTAACTCGCGAGCCGCGTCTCGAACTCGACCGGCGTAGCCCCCGCCGGCTTCCAGTCCGTCGGCACCCCGCTCCCGCGCTTGCCAATCGACACCGAGCGCGTCATCGCCATCGGCGACGCGCCGTGCGGCATCGGCAGCGGGAGACGGAAGCGCTTGTTGCGCCCGCCGCCGGGCGTGAGCGGGCTGTTCTGCATCTGCGGCTCCGAGAACTGCCGCTCGAGCGGAATCTCGGTCTGCTGGATATGTCCCATGCTCGTCTGCGCGCGGGGCGGCTCCACGTAGAGATTCGACGCGACGGGCGTGCGGTCGTGCCCGATCGACGCGTTCGCCGGGCTCGGCTGGATAACGTCCCGGCTCCTTGAGAATGGCCCGTTGGTAGCACTAGCATTAGGGTTCTTCGGGGTACCACTTGCGCTAAGACTGATCACCTTCGTCACGCTGCCGCCGGTGCCCCTCAACATCCCTTCGAACTCGACTTCGCGAAACGTCGGGCTTTTTGGCACGTGTCCGATAACGTACGGCCGTCCATTGAGCGTCGCTGCCGGCTTCCACTCCTTCTGCCCGCCCGAGCGCTTGCCTGTAAGGGATGCGAGCGCGCCGGGACTGAGGAACGCAAATGGCGATTTCTTGCGTTTTCCGGTAGACTCCTTCGCGAGCTGCTGGCGATACTCGAGCGGGACGAACTCTTCAAAGAGAACGAGCGACGTGCTCGAACGATGATCGCTGCCGGTGCCGGACGGAGACGCAGAAAGTGGGAGCGCCCTGAACTCAACCTAACGCAAGTTCATCACCCCATTCCCACCACCCAGCAGCCACAAAAGAACAAAAGCTTACCAAAGCCCAATTACACTCCCTCTCCACCTCCTCGCCCCTGCCTACCTCCATCCACCCACCCCCAGCCAACCCCCCAACGCCCCTCTCCGCACTACTCCCCTGCCCAGGCCCCACACCCGGCCCGCCCCCATACACAAGATCACAAAACACATCCAAAAACGCCTCCTCGACCTCCTCCGGCGCGCCCTGCACCGGCGTCGTGTCCCACCCGAACGGCGGGAGCGCGCGGTGCGCCTTGCGCAGCTTGCGCTGCAGCTCGCTCGACTGCGCCGGCCACGCGGCGATGCTGCTCGCCACGGGCGGGGAGAACTGGAGCGTGGCGGAGAGCGTCGCGTCTGTGCGCGAGAAGCCGTCCGCGCTGAAGTCGGTCCAGTTGAGCGTCGCGCGTTTCGCTGCGCGTTCCTGTGGGCATTTTGATGAGTATCATCATGAAATATGGGAGATTTGCGGAAAAGGGTGAAATAAAAGCAAAAGAAAGGACAACGCACCTGCCTCGCACTCTCCGTCAAATCAAACTGCAGCTTCTTCTCATCCGGCTCCGCAAACCCCATCGCCTCAAACTCGCCCCACCTCAAATCCGTCAAATTCCTATACCGATCCTCCCCCTCCCGCCCCTCCCTCTCCCTCCCCACACCCCCGCTCTCCCCATCAAACAAACTACTACTCGCGCTCCCACTCGTCGCCCCACTATGCGCAGACGACATCGCCGCCAACGCAGGCGCCGCAAACGGCGTCGTCAGCGGCTGCATCCCCGGCGGCATATCCATCCGCTTCTTATACGCCTCGCTGTACTTTGGCTGCAGCGCCCCGCCACCGGTCCCCGCAGCGGGCGGCACAATGCGCGCCCACGCCTCGCTGTGCCCCCACTCGCCTCCATCGTGCCCCGACGCGTGCGGAATCGGCTTCGCCCACGACGCAGACGTGCGCACGAGGTCCGGGCTGTACATGCGCACGTTGCGTCGGATACACGTGACGCGTGCCGTCCTAGCTCCCCGGCGCGGCGGCGGGCGCTCGTGGGGGTTTCGCGAGGAGGTCGAGGTGGTAGGGAGGAAGGGGAGCATCGCCGGGTAGCCGCGAATCCAGTCTTTCAGTTTTGTAGGCACCCCAAGCGAGCGCGAGCTGTCGCCGCTCGGGCTTGTTGGTGAATCGGCGTTTGCGTGGTTGCCTTGCCCGCCTAGCTGGCCGGCCGCACCGATCCCAACCAGCCCGGGCATCGTCACCCGCTGCGCTGCGCCGGCGCCGCCGCTCTGGAGTGTTCCTTGCATGGCGAAGTGCGTGACGGAGCGCGGGGCGTCTTGCCATCGGATGAACGCTAAAATGAGATGTTCCATCGCGTGCACGGCGCGCAGGTAGTGCACGTACGTGTGGTGGAACGCTAGGCCTCCGGGCCCCAGGCCGAAGATGAGCGGGCCAAAGAGGGGCGAGAGCGTTGGGGGCGTATGGCCGGAAGAGGAGGAGTGTGCGGTGAATCGGATGAGGAGTGAGAGAAGGGTGAGGAGCAGACCGCGGAGGGTGGGGTGCAGGGCGGGGAGGAAGGTTGAGAAGTGTGTCGGGGGGTAGTTGAGGGCTATCATTCCGTAAGTTCTCCGAGATCAGCGATGATAGTGAGTTATAGAAGGGAGCTACGCACCAGCCTCGCTTTCCCGGAACTCGATATAATGCTCCCACGCAATGAGCCCCCTCACCGGCTGCCCACCCACAACTCTAATCATCCTCGCCAGGCCCCACCTAAGACACATCCCGAGCTCATGCGGCCCCGCGAACCTCGCCTCCTCGCGCCAACGCATATCAACGTCCGCAACTCCGGGACGTGCACACGTCTCAAGGAAGGAACGCACGAGCCGGCGCACGGCGGGTGCGGACACGTCGAGCGCGAGTGCGGAGAAGATAAAGGGTGTCGTGAGCCCACGCGTGCCTAGTTCGGCGGCGACGACATCTACGAGCCTCGCTGCCTCTTCTAAACCCAGCACCACATGTCGCTCGTACGCGAGGAACCCATATCCATGCTCTGGCGCCGTATGCGTGTTTTGAGGCCCATTGAGCAAAGCGTCTTCGAGATCAGGAGGAACCTGGGGAGGGTCGAGGCTGAGCGGGAGGAAGCTACCGTCGGGAACGCGGGAGAGCGCATCGGAGAGGTCGACCTCGCTCTGGCCGATGGCTGTACTGTCGGTGCGCGCGGTGGCGCCCGAGAAGGTGCGGGAACGCTCTGCGAGGGCGAGGCGCTTCTTGACTGGGTCCTTGTTGCGCGGGTGGGTGGAGGGGGAGCCGATGCGGCCGAACTCGTCAAGACCAGAGCGGAGGGAGGTCTTGGATGGGGAGTCGAGGGTGCCCTTATTGGGGTTGGGCGTTGTGCGGGAGCGGGAGAACAGAGAAGGCATATTCATCTGCTTCTTCTTCTGGTTGGTGTTTGGAGTAGCCTAGGATCTAGGAGTAGAATGGGACTCCTGATTGCAGCGAGCTGGGGAGAACGGGTGAGAACGGAGGGGGTGGAGAGATAGGTGAGATGGACGAACAGGTGGGAAGTGCGTTGAAGCTGGGTTTGATGAGACGGAAAGGCTATTAGCTGTTGCTGTGATGATTCGGCCGGCCGGCGAGAACAAAGAAGATAGATGATGATTACAAAAGGGAAAAGAGCGCTGTTGCAGACCGGTGCGACGAGCGTGAGCCTGCGCTGCCGGGCGAGAGTAGATGGAGAAAGAATGTGAGGATATGTAAGTGGTGAAAGGAACACGAGCGTCTGCGTCTGCGGTGACAGGGCAGTGCAACGTCGGTGAAAATGAAGAAAAGACGATGAAAGCGAGAAAGATGAGTTGGGAGTTGCTCGTCGTCGTCGAGGGCCTCACAGTCGTCAGGCACGGCGGGCGGGTCGGAGTGTTCCCAGGATCAGCCACCAAGGCGACGCAATTGAGACCGCGGCTGGAAGTTGAAGGGTATAAAAGGACCTCCCCTGTCTTGACTTTCTTATTCTTGACTTGTTGATGTTCTGCTTTTGTTGTTGAACCCGCGTTTGTCGAAATGAAGTTCGTGGAAGAGAACAACACGGAGCCGCGCCAGCCCCTTTCTCACCGCACAGCCACGCTCTCACAAGCGCCCACATGGCTCACTCTCTGTCTCTTCGTGCTGCGCTGCACTTGTTCTCGCTCCAATCGGAGAACTAAAACATAACTCCAGCCCGTATCCTCTGCGTCGTCTCGCTCGTCATGCCTTGCCAGCTCCTTGCCAGCACACATCTCATCATCCATCCGTCATCGTCGGCTACAGCTTTCTGACATCGCGGCACTCAATGATCCATGTTCGCTCCCGGCGATCACTTAGAACGTCTCGAAACACCTCGCATCTGGAAATTTCTCACTCCATATTACGTGGCCTTCTATTCACCACGTTCTCCTGTGGCGTTCCTGTTCGACGAAAATACCGTCAACACAATGACTTCTCCCCGCCGCTTTCATGAGCCTGCCATCCTCCGATTTATATCCGCGTCTTCGTTTCTCGTTCAGCTACCCCCTCGCCAATTTTAATCCTCTCCCTTCAAGACTCCCAAACCTCGTAGCTTCTCTCTCGCTTCTCCCTGTTCCGACGTCAGATTCCTCTCGTCCACGCGTACGCCGATCTCCGACTTGAGCAGCCCCGTGCCTCCGAGTCAGTGCATCCCTAGCCTGTCGTTGTTTCTTTGTCATATTCTGCTCTCTGATGTCCACGGTATCTTCTCTCAGAACGTATAATCCACTGAGCTGTTCGAGCGTCGCGAGACGCGGCGGCCTTTGTATGACGATGTCCTGGAACTGGAGAAGGAATGGACGATCGTACCTTATCCAGCGTCAGCTTGAGTCTCGGTTCAGATACGATAACCATTATGAATACTAGCTCACATGAGCACTCCCGTTTTGCTATGTGCGTTGAGCTTCGGATCCGGAGACCGAACGCCCACAGGATACATACCGTCCCGGATATCTCGAATCGGACGAGCGGTATCGAGTGCTGTCATCGGTGAGAGGTCCCCGATCTCGTTTGCTTCCCGTCGCATCAGAGTCCTTGCACCTCGGCTTATCACCTTCTCTCTTTCATCCCGCCCAGATCCGTCCTGGATTCTCGTCGCCCCACCGCAACTCGCCTCGCCTCGACCAGCCACCTCCGTACTCGTGTTCTTCGGCTTTCGCTCCGTCCTCACCCGTTTCTTCTTCTCGCCTTTGGGGCCCGTTTCTCTGTCCCTTCCCGTTGGTGTTTCACCTCCGTGAGGCTGGGCATCGTCCATGGCGAAGACGGATTCAGCGCCTATCAATGTCGGTGAAACGCGGAGAAGGTGCTATATATAGGCTGAATCTCACTGCACGCGACACCTGGCGCCTTTCGCATCCTAAACCAGCCTTCGTCGTTCATGAGGAGTTCTCGAACCATCACATAGGCGTGTGCATGCTATATATGACATCGGTATTTCTCACTCTGAGTACCCAGCGTCTTGTCCTGTCACCCTCGGGGCTCGGGCCATCGCAAGAAAGACACTTTATGAAGAGAACGGTGCTGGGTTATCCCACTTCGGTGCCGTTGAGCCCCTTCCTACTCGCAGAAAACATCGCATTGTGAATGTTTGTGACAAAAGCGGCTTCGTCACTCTGCTATCACGTATTATATAACATCCTCATCGTCATGTATCACTCTCATCAGATACTCGGAGTCGCAATCACGTGGCCGAAAGGAAAGGATAAAATATTCAGAAAACGCCATGACACAAGTCATGCAAATCTATATCGTAGCATATATGGGCTTTGGTGTACTTCGCAACAATCTAGTTTCGAACACAACACAAGATAATCCACATATTAAATGACACGTGATATGAATAGAAACACGAGAATAATACGTTAGAACACTCCACTCGGTGTTGAGCTTTTACTTCAGCAATCAACTCCATTTCCCATCGCAATTATGTCCTAAGACAGAGCCTCTGGGTCATTGGTCCCGGCGTTAGTCGACGGTCTTGCAAAAGCGACAGAAGTATCTGCAGTTTGATTTGTCGTCATGCCATGCATCCCATCCACCCGTCCAGCGTATGGATCACGGATAGCAAGAATGAACCATGGCCCCGCTGCTGAAACCAGCAATACTTGCAGAGCCGGTGCTAAGTCTTCAAAAACCATAATTTCTACGACCGCCTTCGAGAGTTCAGTTGGAATCAAGTGTGGCAAAGCAATTGCTTACTAAATGAGCCCCGTTGGTTGCCAGTGTGTTGGTAATCCCCCAAGTGAGAAACCTACGTATAGGTTATCTCACATGAGGCTTTACCATAGTACTACACGCTTACCAAAAGAAATACAGCAACCCATGCCGAATGATGAGGCGCATAATTCCCTTGACTCCAAACGACCGCAGTTCTTTGTGTTCCTTCAGCTGCATAATGGACCGGTATACAATCATAACAATGAGTGTCAGCTCATACGTCATGAGCAGCCCGTTAGCAACCGGGATCATCCACTGGTATACAATGTTAGATGGCCCATTGAAGATTCCACAGATGTGCCAGCCAAGTACAATAGCCTCTTGAGCTATAAACAGGACAATTAACTCATGGGCCAGTCTCAGTTATCACTAGTTGACGCACAAGATTGACCATAGGGTAGTATGTAATCAAAAAGGTTTAACACCCCGTAACACAACTGCAGAATGACGAATGTTGCCGCAAGGAAAATTACTGTTTTCTTGGAGTTTTCGTAAAGCGCACAAACCCGAGTAGTCATCGCAGCTAAAAGAATACATTTGATGAGTTCAATCATTGATGAATATAATGCCAGGAAGTCACCTTGCAGTGCTATTGTCAAGGTACTCTGGAGTATTTCATCGATAAATATATACAGCCCTTCGCCTGTTATAAAACGACATCATTTCATTTGTTCATGTGCTATAGTTGCTGATATGAAACGTACAGCTGGAATCAAGAATAAGTGGTACAGTCGAACAGACAAACCACGGGAAACTCCTTACGTCTACCAGATGTTATGTCCATATTATTATTTTATTCTCCACTTGAGAACATGTTGGTGAGGAAGTCCACAAACGTACCTTATCGGAAATATAAAATCTAATATTCCCTTCGCACATGTTAGAATGATCAACACAATATTTATCAAGGACACTTACAGATACCTGACATGCTAAACAAAAGATGCATATGGTTAACTCAAACCTTCTACATAACATATACCCCTTAGACATACATAGCATAGAGAAGGCCGACATATCGAAGCTGCTCTATATTAGCTACCTATCAAGTAAGCACAGTTGAATGCTAAAAACTTACAAATACATAACACCAGGTCATGAGCGATACTTTACGTTTCTGAAGAACAAACATATGAATAAAGACGAGAACACCCATTGAACATAATTGACTCGCCCATATCAAGTTTACCTAGCAAAGGCATAGTTCAACAACAATGATTTTCCACTGTATCTGAGCTCTTACTTCTTGATCTAGTCGAAGAACTGTAAAGCTTTAGCAGTTAAACCAGGAAGGTGTATATGCAACTCACTATAGTCATAGAGGACCGCAGTAGCAATGGAAACTAAACGAGGGATCCGATTGAGCCAAGCGCACGTAAGCTCGTAGGTAGAAACACATTAGAGCTCACCTAACAAATAGTCATTTTTTTGGTAGTCGGAAATCCATGGGATGTACTGAGGCGAGTTTGAAACATAGGGCATTGTTGAAGACAGTAAGCGGTACGAGGGAAATGTTGTGATAACACTTTCTGTGAGAGTAAATATACTGGGGCCAAGGCAACATGCTGCGCTGTCGCTCGTTCTTTGAACGCCGGGCTGTGCTTCGAATGATCATTTTGTGTTTGTTTCGCCAGTTCTCCTTGCTTAGCGGAGTTGGGGGAAAGGATTGCGATGACATAAGAGTAAGTCAAAACAAGCAAGCCCTCGCTCCGCTCCGGCACTTACAACGCCAAGTCGGGCATAATTTGAATATACGAGGATTTTTTTTCTCATATTGTTTTTTCTTTCCTTCTCTTCGCGGATCACTTCTAGCTTTAATTCTCCCTATCATCCTAGCGCCCTTGAAAGCTTGATACTTGCTAGCCGCATAGCGTAGTGATCCACACTATTCACCCGATTATATACTCCAGATTCTCATGCTTTCTTGCCCTTTTACATGTCATGACCGACCGCTATGCAGAGGCATTACATCTATTGCCTGGAGCACTGGGAGTCAAAAGTTGGTTTCCGCTTCGTCAGTGGAGTGGGAATCAGGTTATTCTTGTTCATGTCGCACAGTGGACATGTTTTGAGCCGCAACGTTCCCTATGGTGATTGATCGAGCGAGGCGCTTGATAGTATGATGTTTGCGATGACGTTGCCTATGTTACTTCCAAAGGATTACACCGGAACCCGGGGAGCCACAATTACTGATGATAGAATGTTTTTTATTAACATCCGATCAAACCCGCCATGCCTGGGTTACGGTCGAGCATCATTGGAACACCAAGGACATTAGGTCTATGTGATGTAGGCGCCTATTCGGGCGCTTAACATGGTGTGTCTACTTGCACATCTTGGCAAGCAAGAATAAACCTAGTCTCCTGGAGGATGAAGGAGAATCCAGAACTTTTGGTGTCGGCGTGTCGGCTAGGTAACGGCGTGTCGGCGGCGTGTCGGCGCGATACTCATGGCTCGTTGAGTGTCATCCAGGCCACACTAGAATCAACTCAGACAATGGCTCTCGTCATACTACTAATTAGTTGGACAGGATATAAATGATGACGCTCGTTATAATCTATGTCATCACGTCATTTATAAACGGCACAGTAGTGTAGCATGTAAGTCTACGATTCTTGTCCTCGGGGCTAGTGTTCGATCCAGCATTTAAGCCATTTTTTGCAAGCTGCGGGGATTTTTTTGGCTGTCACCAACAAAGTCCAAAGCCGACGTCAATGTCCACTCAATATCACGCACAGATCTCGGAATATTCGTCTGAAACATGATCAAACACTGCCCTGTTCGTTCATACAGTCATAAAGGTGTTCTGATGAAATAAAATAAACGGAAATAAATCAATGTAACCACAGAAGGTGGACAAGTGGCTAATTTGTGCTCGGTCAGGTTCAAAACTGTCCTGCCGTCCAGACTCCAAAGTCCCAAACCGCCGTCCATGCCAAGATCAGGGAGGATGACAAAATCGTGGTGCATGAGCCGAGATTGACCGATGATTAGGCTGGCAATGAAATCCTGGACAACTATAGATGGCAGGGAGCTCGATAAACAAGTTTACAAGGAGATAGACTACGATACAGTGCATGGAGAGACGTGAAAAACTATCTAAGAAGAACATTAACTGACAGCTAACGCGAGGCGCTCCGCCGTCACATACGCTTAGTGCCGACACGCGGCCGACACATGCCGACACCGCCACCAAAAGGTCCCAGATCACCTGCAACCTGGTCTCCCGTGGTGAAGTGTAGTGGTGCACACATGATCTTGCATTGCGTACTTAAGCAGCACGAAATATGAAGGAGAGCTGTCAAATACATCTGGAATAATGCATACACAAGAGCCGTATCCGAGACATCTTCCTTAGATCCCCATCATCTCATACTGATTCATAATGCACGTATATCCCTACGTTTGTATGAACCTCTGATAGTCCATTCAATTCTGCACGTACTGCACTCGGCAGACACTATCCGTCGACGTGTGCGTTTCGAGCACTTCCACGCGAGCAACCCCAGTTACGAGTTGAGCTACACGGCATCTGCGTCGAGATATGGCGGGGCAGCAAGGGGCACAACCGGACCTGCGATGTGGAAGAAGGCGCGATCAATGATGCGAAAGCCCCGCAGGCGCGGCATGTTCTCAAACGCATCTAACGGGTCCTTTGGCTGCCTCCGTCGCCTCGCGGTCATGTAGTCCCACGCGTCGAGCCACACCACGTTCGGATGCGCGAGCATTTGAAGGCTGCGCACGCGGGGAACGACGAGGTGTTCAACGCTCGGGCAATGCTGAATGAGCTCCTCTATGACAAGAACGAGGAAGAAGCTCCCGTATATTGCGAGGTATCGCAGGTGGCTGCCGTGTTTCGCGAGGAAGAGCGCGTAACAGGGGCGCACATCGTGAGCCGTCGCCTGTACCGCGGTGAGCGAGAGTTTGCACAAGGCTGGAAGATCGAGGGCGGACGTTATCGATCGATAGCTGTCGCTGATGGCTACTGAGTCAGAGGTGGATAGCGTGAGGCGCAGATCTTCAAGGCGGGAGAGTATGTATGGGTCGCCATGAGCGGTGGGCGTCAGCAGGTTCACTTCGCAGGAGAGCATGACGAGATTGGGAAATTGGGTCAACTCGGGAACTGCGTGTGAAAGTGGTACAGAGACACCAAGCTCGACGCGTGTGAGCGTGTCTTGATGAGCTTGAGGGAGGGTCTGCAAATCGAGGGTGAACGTAGACAAAGGATGAGGAAATAGGTCCAGGACGGGATTGAACGCGAGATGTCTCAGGCGAGTGCACATACATAAAACCGGCCTGAGGGAGAGATCAAGCACGTGGTGCTGGGTGGGAGAGACGTCGCATAGAAGTCGAAGGGATTTAATCATTAAAGCTAGCGCCGAGGTTGAGTCATTCAAGAGTGTGTGTTCAAGAAGAGGGAGCTGGTTGACGGTTCGGATGGTAATGTCGCGGTACAGGAGCTCTTTTGCCGGTCCCGACCAAGCTTTGCATATCAGCGTAAGGCCTTGTTGGAAGCGCATACCCTGTTTTCCACCCGACATTGGATCGTGGCCAGTCCACAGGGCGGGATCGAAGATTTGAGGCTGCGGAGGGTAACATGCAAGATCAAAGATGGAGATGAGAAGCTCGAACGGTAGAGCCATGTCTAGAGTTGGACTTGGGGTGTTCTG